GTGTAAATATGCAAAATAAATTTTTTATTTCAATTTTCTGAATCTTGAAACAAATGTGATACTTATTTTGACATTACTTAATTGTTTTACAAATTACAAGTAATATGCTAATGCCTTTGAAATCCTAACGTTGATTACGATTACTAGGGCTGAGTATTTCTAGTTTTTTCATACTTATCCAGAAAGGTGCCAGAACAAGGTGAGTGATGTATAAATATATTTCATAACGATAATAAGTTACACTGAACATTTTATTTTGCATATTAGAATCGTTTTGAGTATACGATGATTATTGAATTAAAATTTAACACAACCATTACAGTGACTCTCTAGACACCTAATGTATAACAGAGCATAATAAATATTAATTTGGAAATACAATCCCCGAATTTGTAAATCTAGAAAATATGTAATACTGTTTCTTTAAGACAGGGCCGCATTTAGGGGGGGCACTGGGTACAACTGCCCCGGGCGCCAGTATTTTAGGGGCGCCAAAATTTTGTGGACAGAAATGTCTTTACTTATGAATTTTTAAAATTGTATACTTTAAATTATTTTTATAACAGTATTATATAATATAATCTAGTATAATAGTATTGTATATATTATTATAGTATAATAATTATGCTGTTTGAAATTTATTATTTAAACAATCAATGTATTTATAGCAATATAGCTACAGCGATCGATAATTATTAATATACCTAGTTCCCAAATTTGTTGTGATTATGTCAATAGACATCAGTTATTTATAATAATACGGGCAATACCAATACGGCGTATTGATTTTATATTACATAGTTTTGTACTTATGATTAAAATAAAGGAAGTTCCAAAACAATGATCTTGAATATTATTCTATATTATAAACATCATTCATTTAAATAGGTAATATTATTTAATTATTTGCTATTAAATTTTGTGTTTATTATAATCATTATTTTTTGTAATTTCTACAAAATTAAGTAAGTAAGAATCAATTAAACTATAGTTATATAGAGATTCAAAAATAATTAATGTTTAATAACTGGTAAGTTGACAAGTTGTTATGAAACAAATTTATGCAGGTCACTTTTTTGTCACTTTTATAAATAAATTCAGTCACTTTTTTTAAATAGCTTAAACCACTACCAGCCCTGTATATAGTTACATTAATTTTATAAAATACTATATACAATAAAATATAAAATATTTATTTGCATAGTTTTATATAATTTTATTTTATTTATCCATGAAGTACCTACTTAAATATGTTTAAAAAAAAAAAACAACTTAATGATACTAAATTATTAGCAAGGTTTGAGTGACATAAATTCCAATATATCTTTGCGGAGGGATCAAGCAATTACTAAACAATATTTTTTTAAAAAAGCACTCTTAAACAAATATTCTTTTCTTCGCTCAAAATCTAAAGGGTAATGAGGATCTACCTCACATATTTTCCGTGGGAGGAGCAATTTTTTTTTCACCGGGGCTTGGGGGGCGCCAATTTTTTTTTTGCACCGGGGCGCAAAATGTCTAAATGCGGCACTGCTTTAAGATCAACAAATACGGTGATCGATTTTCAATACTTATATGATTATTTATTTAAGTTATTATTGATGTAGTTTAAGAATTTGTAAATCAGCAGAAAACGTAGAAATAAAAAAAAAAACAAAATTAGGGACCAAATTCACGCTACCCCTGATGGTCCGATTAGTTCTGGCAAATCCGGCTAGCTACACGTTGGATATTTTTGAATTTATTTTTATTTCAATACTACTTTTTATGCATGTAATTTAAATCATTTATCGTTTAGCTGTATATTTAAAAATGTTATAACTGTGCCACACTATTTTTTCAATATCTTTTCATGTACCTACATTATTTTGTCTACTGTTGAAAGAAAGATAATTTTCACCATTACATAGTAATTACGTGATATGAATCAGGACATTGAATGGTCTTGATACGTTTTAATTGTTTTTAAAATTGTTTACATTTTTTCAACAGTATTTTAAAAATTTTACATTTTTTACAGTTTCATATGGTTTTATAAATATCCTTTCTGTCCATGTACGAAATATGTTGAAATTTGTTGAAGCCTCCCTATTTATTTATTTCACCTTAGACAAAACTATAAAAAAAACTAAAAACACTTAAAAAACATTAACGTAAACCACCGTAGAAATTAACATATTAAACAATTCTTAAAGTAAAAAATTAGTAAAACGTAAAAAAGTAACGCCGTAAAAAATTTAAAATCATAAATCGTCGATTAACGTAAAATAATATTGAATCAACGTAAGCAATTTACTGAAGTAAAAAACAAAAATTCAGAAATGCCTAAAATACAAAATAACCGTAATAAACGTAAAAATTTTTATAGAAAAATTCATTTTTAAATATTTTTAAACTGAAAATAACAAAAAAATTTAATTTTAAAAATCTTTAGAGATCGTAATTATTGTTTATAAACGTTAGACACTAAAAAACAGATATTTTTCCCCAGCGACCCAAATTTCGATTTTTTTTTAAAAAATTATTTTGTATGTATTTGTTTGTAGCTTATATAAAATCTGCTAAAAAAAAACATCATCATATTTTGATAGTCACTACTTATTTTTATTTTAAATGCTGTCAATCGATGATTTATAAATATATTATGTAATAAAAGTAATTGTTATTTAATTAATTCCTACAATTATTCAGACACCCCCAAATCAATTTTTTTTATACAATTTAGATATTTTATTAACTGTCACTTATTCTAATAAAAATTAATGTAAAATGATGTAATATCATTTGTAACTATTTGTATAACCACAAAAAACATTTGTAACCCACCCCTGACGCTCAAAACCAAGTATCTAAGTGGCGAGGCGTGCTGACGTCACTACAGCAGGTCCATTTCCCCAGCTTCCATAAATTGGAATCTTAAATTTATGTTTATTCCATATTAATGTAAGTCGTTGGTAAATATGATTTTTTCGTTCAATAAAAAAGACTAAGAATTTGGATTTTTAATGAAAAATGGAAATAAAATATTTAAAATCTATATTTGATAGTAAAACTATTTAATAAAAAAATGTCCATCAAGATTTGTATGATTTTTTTAATTTTTTTAATTTATCAAGTTTTTTATTTAATATAGATTTTTTTAAATATGATTTTTTTATTGTTTTTTAATGTGTAGTTTTCATTAAGATTTTTTATTTCTAGTTATATTTGTTTTATTCAATCAAGGTATATTCAACAAAAAAAAACTTGTTAAATTAAAATATCATTCAAATCTTCTTGATTGAATTTTTTAATGGAAATTTTTATATTAAATATTTTTTTTTATCAAATATACATTTTAGATTCTGAGTGAAACGATGAATGTATTGATTTTACAATGATGTGTGTTTTTTTATTTTTATTTTTTTGTGTGTGTACACGATATAAGTAGTTGAAATAATGCTTCGATTTTCAACTTCAGTATCTTGTTCGATTGGAAAGTGAATATCGTTGGTGCATTGGGGAGGTCAAAATTTAAAATTCCCAGAAATTTTCAAAAGCACCGGGGAAAACAAAAGAAAAATTAAGGAAAAACGGGAATTTTTACACAAAATCTGTTTTCGAGAAAATCGATTTTGGTTTTTGGTGTAACTTTAAAACGAATGAAAGTATATACATTAAATTTTCACTGGTTGTTTATATTTGCATTTTCTATACACGATAACATTTTCAAAATATTTTGATTTATTTTGAACTGTTTAGGGACATTTCCATTTTCCATTATTTTTTAGTTTTTTTTCTAAATATATCAATAAAATTTTATTTGTTGGTTGCGAAAGATTGTAAATTTAATAGAAGGCTCCTACTATATTGTTTCAAAGACAGATGAAAAATATTAAAAATCGTTAGTCACAGTTTTTTTTTTTAAGCATTTAAAGTTCAAAAAATGACAAAATATGGAAAAATCACGAAAATTTGAAAATTATTTCGAGTTAGAAATTCATAAAAATTTTTCTTTTTAAATCTTAGATATGAAAATGTAATACAAGATTCCTTATAAGATTTCCTACATTTATCAAAAAAAAAATTCTATATGAAAGTCAAATTAAATTTTTATGAGCGTTTGAAATTCAAATTTTTACAACATTGGATATTCACTTGATTTCTCATGTGTCGATTTCCTTATTTTCATAATTCAAAAACGAATAACTGTAGATACATGAAAATTTCACTGAATGTTCAGATTAGAAATTCCTATACACTGTACAATTTTGAAAATGTAATGCGCAAGCAATTCTGATTTACAAATTCTAAAAATTTAATTCTAAAAGGTTGCGAGTCGATTGGACTAGTTGACGGGGCTAACTTCACTATCATCCGTAATGGTTTTTAGTTTATAATAATTTAATGACTTATTTGCAAATTCTGAAAATCAATTTGCATTTATTTGGAATTAATTTGCAAAATATTGACATATTATTCGAATATATTTAACTTATTCGGGAGCCCAACTTTACATACATCTAAAACACTGCATAAAAACATAAAGAATTATAAACGTAAAAAAAGAATGAGCCCCAAAAAACGTAAAAATAAATTTGATAACCATAATTACGTAAACAAAATATGTTTGCAACATGACAACCAAAAAAATGAAAAACCATAAACAAACTTAAACTGTGTAAGTTAATGATGAACGTCAATCACTGAACAACGTAATAACAATTTTAGAAGAAATAAATCTGTTTTATTTTTTTTTTGATAAATTGTTAATAACTTGAAGAAATTGAATTTGTAATTATATATATATTAATGGATTTCACATTAACTGATTCCAAATTTTTTTCGAAAAAATCATAGAATTGTCTGATTAATAATACATTTTTCATGTAAACTTATTTTCTAGACATTTACGTTATTTACTTTGTTTTCACTATAGGCAACGAGAGGTCGAAAGGCTTTAGTTGAACCAGATTATGTATACAATATCCTTGAAAAGTATAAACAACAAATGTTTGATGATGGGTTACTTCGAGGACTTTCTCATGGAGTATGGGACACTTTATACTCGGAACTCGATTATAAAATACCCAAAAAAAACTTTATATATATCGGTATTGCAAAATCGACACCAATACCAATCTAAACTTAAAAAAAATTTGGGTTATATAGACAAAGACTGTGCTTATACTAAAAATGGTAGCTCTGAAACTTCTTCAAGTAATGATGAAGAAATCCGCGAAAAGGATGAAAAAACATTTGAATTAACTATCCCTTATTTAAAATATATGGAAATGGAACCAGAAATAGTTTTGTATAAAGATGGCGCGGGTGTTAGAACGTATGAAATTCTTAAGCCCAATACATGGTCAGACATTATAAATGATTATATTATCCAAGAACTTAAACTACCATGTAACTATTTGTACAAGCGATGTAAAGTCAGAAGTGATATGTCAAATAGTCAATATTTTTTATATTTTGTAGCTGCTTGTAAAGATTGCAATAATAGTTTAAAGGGATGGAGTAATCAAAAACCGACTAGAGGACAACCACTGGAGTTAAAAATATGTACCAACGACACAAGAGGAATGGAATCTATACATTTTAGTAAAAGACCACTGAGAGGTACTAAACGTGATAAAGTTGCTAACGAGCTGGTTACGGATATTCCCAGTAATTGGAGGCGAAAGAAAGCAACAACAGATATGGAATTTGGTAATTTTTCTCCTCCTAACTTATACCGCAATGAAGTTTTACGTAAAGCTAAACAAGAACATAAAGATCAACTATTAGGAATCACTGTAAAATGTCCTGTTTTATCATTGGTAGAACTAAAACATTCTCAGTTTTCTGGATCAATACATTCAATTGGAATTGATCCAATACTTGTTCACTACTGGAGTAATCATCAAATTACTATATTTAAGGATATGTTAAAAAAATACTGTAGAGTTTCTATCGATGCAACAGGTGGTCTTGTCAAAAAAACAAAACGAACTTCATTCGATTTATTGTCTGCCCATATTTTCCTGTACGAAGTAGTTATAAATGCTTCATATGGCCAAATACCTGTATGTCAAATGATCTCCGAGAAACAAGACACCCTAACAATTTGTAATTGGCTTACGCGGTGGTTGAATGCAGGGGTTGGCGTACCACATGAAGTAGTTTGTGATTACTCTGCTGCCTTACTGGGTGCCGTAACCAGGGCTTTTTGTAATTTAAGTTTGCAGTGCTACGTAAAAAAATGTTTTACTTCATTAATTGAGCATGAAAAATAACAAAGTTTACCGAAGTGTTATGTACGTATTGACGTGGCACATACGAGTATGATCAAAATATTTTGCCGTATACCATATTTTAAAGGGATACATAACAAAAACTTAAAACACTTTTACGTGAGGTGTTTACGACTTCTGTTAACATCAGTTTCTTTTGAAAAATTCACTGATATTCTCAAGGCATTGTTAACAGTTTCTATGAGTGAAACAGATGGATGGTATAACAACGAGCCAACACCAGCGGAGTCTGCAAGAAAAATGCTATTGGACAAAATAAAAGGAATTGATATAAATTATGAAGATATGACCGATATTGATTCTGAAGTAGAAGAGAGGGGGGTTTGGATGGAGAAAAATATGATTGCGAGGAACCTATTGATGGAATTAAAGAATATTTGGAAGATATTGAACAATTTTCCATTACGCAATCAAAAATAAAAGGAAATCGCGATTCTGCATACTTTATTCCAAACTTATCCAAAACAATTTTACGTTTATGCAAGCATTTTCCGATCTGGACTGGAGTTATGAATGACAAATTTCAAACTCCATATGTGATTGCATCTTCAGCATCAGTGGAGAGTGATTTCTCCGATTTGAAATCACGTATCCTCCGTTTCGAAACGAAACCAATGACTGCTGATAGGTTTGTTGCCAAACATCTAAAATCAATCGAAGGCAGCTCAATTTTATTTCGAAGTAGCCAGCTAAGACATAATCACATAGAAATTAATAAGAAATCTGTTATGAAGGTGGATGTTGAATCAGACTATATAATTTCAGATTCAGAGACGATATTGCCATCTTCAACAAAAACGAATACACTAATTCCTGTGCCGGAGGAAATAAGTATTGAATCAATCCAAAAGGAAAAATTAATACTAAATGTTAGCTTTGATTCGTTGGACATCAAAAGATTAGGGTCCGTTTCACCAAATGAATCGTACATGCATTTAGAAGGAATTGAACCACTGACTAAATTAAATTCCAGCGATGATTCAACTTCCGAAAAATCACTTGATGAATTTGAAAATTGGGGTGGCTTAGGAAAGCCAAATATTCCAGTTTTTCCCAAAGGCTGTGAAAATAAATATAAAAGAAAAAGGAATACAACGTACATGGAAAAAACTCCTGAAATCGACAGAATATTGCAAAAAAAAAACACTCGGTCGAACTTGAACACCTTGCTTATCAATGGAAATATAGCAACACCATTGCATGTAGCCAAACAAAGATATATTGTTATGAACACGTGCCCGTTTGATGCATTAGCAGTAATAATAACTATGGCATATACAGACTTTAAAACCTATACGGCTTTTGTAGACTCTAGTGAAAACAACATGTTGAGGTTTTGCAAAAGTCTTGCATTATATGGACCAACCAAAAAAACATACACAGATCGACTCGAATTATTAAAACCGATATTTAAGAGCTCTGATGATATTTCTCGTATCAAAGTGATTGATGCTCAGTGTAATGTAGCGTTCATTGCAACAAAATTATTGGTAAACGCTCCATCCGCAATCGAAAAAATACGGTGCACGACAGATGGTTGTAATAATAATAACAGAGATATTGAAAGCGCAACGTTAATTTTAAGATTTAAAGACGTTAAGAATCTTCAAAATTCATTGGATAATTACACAAAGGAACAGGTTTATGAATGTGGTTATTGTTATAAGTTATTATCTTCAAGAAGAACTGTAATGAACCACCTTTTGATTGAGACAGATACTTTGCCTGAAAATCAAAGTATTCCACTTTCGATGTTTCCAACTCAATTAGAAGCCGAAAATGTCAAGTATGTGTACAATTTTTAATTCTATTTATAATAATATCTAATATTATTCTAATTTATTACCACATTACCACAATAATATTATATTCTTTCTTCTAAATATTATACAAGTTACTAACTCTATTTGCTTCAAATTTATATTAAAAAAATTTATAGTTTACCAATATTAACAGTTTAAAATTAAAATCAAATAAATATGAAATTATTGTCATATGTTTTGAATATTATAGAATTATTCAAAAACTATTAACTTTTTTAAGTTAAATTACATTATAGTATAGGCACAAATTAAATTTTTCAGATATGCGTTGTATGGTGTGATTGAGTATCATTCGGTACCCTACATATCATATATACGGAGATCAGATAACCGCTGGGAAACGCATAATGATCTGCAAAAGAAAATTAAAATATCTACAACAAAATGCTTAAACGCTAGGCCACATTTGGCCGTGTACATACAAATTTAATTTAACTAGCATTTTTATTTGAATATAAATCTAAGGTTTGATTTTTTTCACAGTGCATTATATTTAGAATTGGTAGTAACAAATATTTATCTTCATGTTAGAAAACTATTTAAATAAACTACTTTCAGTCAAAAAGTACAAAACTACAAAATGTTGGACCAATTTTTTTTTATTTAACCTTAATACTTAACAAAAATTATGATAAACATAATATTATAAAATGTCTTAATAATAAGTAAAAAAACAAAAAAAAAATACAACTTTCAAACTTCAGGTAAATCACTTCAGAGTTCATAATTGGCATTTATTAAAGATTCAAAAAATACATTTAATGGTTGAAATAACAAACCATAATAAGTAATCAAAGTTTATATTCATTAAACGTTTAACATCCAAAATATATAAATTTTAAATTTGTTCAATATGTTACACTTATTATTATCCTCGTGATCGTGTAAAGCGGAACACGTTGCATACACTCAAAACTGACAATAACTCTATATATATTAAAAACTTTTTTAATAGTATATAGTTAATAATTATTCTAGTATAAGTTGTTACAAGGTTGCTAAATATTGGCACAAGTCCGAAGTTGATAAGATAAAGTCGGGGGGCTGCGTGAGGTTGGCCCCCCATTATTATTATGCTGATTTTAGTCACGAAGTAATAGGTTGCAAATTTTTTTGATTTTTTTCACAGTGCATTATATTTAAAATTGGTAGTAACAAATATATATCTTCATGTTAGAAAACTATTTAAATAAACTACTTTCAGTCAAAAAGTACAAAACTACAAAATGTTGGACCAATTTTTTTTTATTTAACCTTAATACTTAACAAAAAAATATGATAAACATAATATTATAAAATGTCTTAATAAGAAGTAAAGAAACAAAAAAAAAAATACAACTTTCAAACTTCAGGTAAATCACATCAGAGTTCATAACTGGCATTTATTAAAGATTCAAAAACTACATTTAATGGTTGAAATAACAAACCATAATAAGTAATCAAAGTTGAATACAAAAACACGTTGCATACACTCAAAACTGACAATAACTCTATATATATTAAAAAATTTTTAATAGTTTATAGTTAATAATTATTCTATCTTTCTAACCCAGTTGAATTAAAAATCTAGCCCCCCGAACTTGTTTCCTGATAAAATAAGTAAAAAAAGTGGTTGCAAATTTTTTCAAGTAGGTTGCTAAAAGTTGCTAAAAGGTTGCTAAATATTGGCACAAGTCCGAAGTTGATAAGACAAAGTCGGGGGGCTAGCCCCCCGAACTTGTTTCCTGATAAAGTAGGTAAAAAAAGTGGTCGCACATTTTTTCAAGTAGGTTGCTAAAACTTGCTAAAAGGTTGCTAAATATTGGCACAAGTCCGAAGTCCGTAGGATAAAGTCGGGGGGCTCGCCCACCAAACTTGTATCCTGATAAGGTAAGTAAAAAAAGTGGTTGCAAATTTTTTCAAGTAGGTTGCTAAAAGTTGCTAAAAGGTTGCTAAATATTGGCACAAGTCCGAAGTTGATAAGACAAAGTCGGGGGGCTAGCCCCCCGAACTTGTTTCCTAATAAAGTAGGTAAAAAAGAGGTTGCAAATTTTTTCATGTAGGTTGCTAAAAGTTGCTAAAAGGTTGCTAAATATTGGCACAAGTCTGAAGTCTTTATGACAAAGTCGGGGGGCTGCGTGAAGTTGGCCCCCCAGTTTTATTATGCTGATTTTAGTCACGAAGTAATAGGTTGCAAATTTTTTCATGTAGGTTGCTAAAAGTTGCTAAAAGGTTGCTAAATATTGGCACTAGTTTGGAGTCTCTATGTCAAATTCGGGGGGCTAACTTCACGCACATTACAACGTGTTAATAATTTTTGATTAATTTGTTAAATTATTTTGTTGCTTAAAAATTTAAAATGAAGAAACTTAATACTAATGAAAAAAAACGTAAACTTGTTTCGGATTATTTTAAAGTACAGAATAAAATTACCACAATTGACAAAACCGACAAAACTGAAGAAACAAAAGATAACCCCGGTCTTAAACCAGAAACAACACAACCAGAACATATTATGTCGGTAAATATTGACTTAAATAATGTAAATAAATTTGATATTGGTAATTTTATTGACAAATCATATGAATTTAAGAGTAATGAGGATAAATTGGAAATTTTGAACAACATTTGGGTACCAGAAAATAATTATATATTTCCTAAAGTAGGAAACCGAAATTTAAAATTTCAATATCAGTGGTTGCAAAAATGGTTTTGGTTGGCTTATTCATCTTTGTTAAACGGTGCATTGTGTAAGTTTTGTGTGCTTTTTTCTAGAAAAAAAGGTGGTATTGGGGATCAAGCTCTTGGTGTCCTTTGTACTGTACAATTTAACTCATGGAAAAATGCAATTGAGAAATTTAGTTTACATGAAATGAAAGAATACCACAAGAACTGTATTATAACAGTTCAAACTTTGAGACACAATGTTTCAAGTAATACTTCGATAAATTTATTGTTAGATCAATCATTAAAAGACCAAATTTCATTCAATAGAAAACTTATAATACCTGTTATTGAAACAATTATATTATGTGGACGACAGGGATTAGCTATGAGAGGTCATAATGATAGTGGTCCTTTAGCATTAAACTTTCCAATAGAAAATGATGGCAATTTTAGAAGTATTTTAAGAAATACTTTAAATCAAAATAAAGAATTATTCGAAATTCGGTCTAAAGCTAATAAAAATGCACATTACCTAAGTCCAACAACTCAAAATGAAATTATTAACAGCTGCCAACTTATAATATTAAACAAAATCGTATCAGATATTAATAAATCACAATGCTTCTCAATTTTAGCAGATGAGACAGCAGATGTTAGTGGTATAGAACAATTTTCTCTGTCAGCTAGATTTATTAAAGAAAATATTATAGTTGAATCATTTTTATTATTTGTACCTGTATCTAGTACTACTGGATCAAATTTATCTTCAGTTATAATTGATACCCTAAAATCAATTGGAATAGATTTAAAATACTTAAAAGGCCAAGGACCAAAAGACTATATGATGGTGCTGCTTGTATGTCGGGAAAATTTAATGGTGTTCAACAGTTAATTAAAAACCATTATCCCCAAGCTTTATATGTACATTGTAGTGCCCATAGTTTTAATTTAGTAGTATCAACATCTTGTGCCATGCTTCCTATTAGAAATGCTATGGGTACAATTGAAAGTGTTTATTGCTATTTGAACACACCTAAACGATTACATATTTTAAAAAATGAAATTTTTTCTTTAATAACTGATACAAAAAAAGTAAAACTTCAACAATTATGCCACACAAGATGGATACAACGACAAGATTCAGTTTTAACATTTTTAGAATTGTACCCTGCTATTATAAGTTCATTAGAAATTTTATCTGATGATAGTGACAGAGAAACTTCTTAAAAAGCCTCAAATTTACTTATTTCTATACAAGATTTTCAATTTTTAACCAGTCTGCATATTATAAACAAAATTTTTGGATTAAGTAATTTTTTTTGTAAAGTATTACAAAAAACCCAAATTGACCTAGGTGAAGCTTTAACTTATGCGACACATTTATCATCAGAGCTTAAAAAAATTAGAGATAATGCAGATAATGAGTTCAAGATCATTTTTAATCAGATTTTAAATTTATCAGAAAAATATAATATTACAATTAAAACTCCTAGATTGTCTAAAAAACAGGTTCATAGAAATAATATTCCTTGTAACGATACTGAAACTTATTATAAAATTGCAATTTTTATTCCATTCCTAGATACATTTCTTCAAAGCATTGAAGACCGGTTTGTAAACCATAAACATATTTTTACTGGATTTCAATGTATTATAAAATTTGAAAATGAAATAAATATAAATGATGTTGAAAAACTCACTGTGTTTTATAAAGAAGATTTGGAAGACATAAAACAAGTTTATGAAGAAGTTAAAATGTGGCATTCTTTTTTAAAAACTATAAATAAACCTAATAACATTTTAGAGTATTTAGACGTCTGTGATAGTTCAATATTTCCAAATGTATATAAATTAATTAAAATATTAGTAACTTTGCCAGTGACAACATGTACAGCTGAACGGTCCTTTTCAACTCTTCGTAGGTTGAAGACTTATTTAAGAAATACAATGAGTCAAAATAGATTAAATGGATTGGCATTATTAAATATTCACCGAGAAATAACAGTAACTCCAGAAGAAGTTCTAAATCAAATAACTAAGACAAAAAAGAAATTAGACTTTGTTATTTAATTTTTAATTAATTGAATATTATAAACTAGTACCTACTTAATATACTCAATAAAAATATGCTTTAGTAACTAAGTCTGTATTTTGTAAATTATTTTTCCAGCAATCATTTACATACTAACCTAACATACTTTATACTTTAATTAGTTAAAAGGTATATAGTATAAATTATAAATCCTTAAATTAGTAAATATATTATATTGTATTACAATTGTTATTTATATTTTATACATTCGTGTGAAAAAATGTCTGCTTCGCGTCATACATGGGGTAATGCTAACCTTTTAGCGATTTATATAAATATAGGTAAGTTTACCAACAAATTTTGGCAAACCCCCCCCCCATGAGAAAATCCTGGCTACGCGCCTGTATGGTTATAGTGATGTATACCTATTATATTATATTATATTATATTTTTATATAATAATACGAGTATATATAATAATTATATAATATGTAATATATTATACTATTTCTGTCAATACTAAATTGAATGTTTGATAAGTAGCTAATTAACTACCTACCTAATGAAGTAAGAGTTAATAGATACTAGTAAATAGTATAGGTCTATGTAGTTGGTGTTTAATTATTTATAAAAATTCAACGAAATGTCCGCTTATTCGTTTGCTATGTTGTATATATTTTATTTTTAAGTTATGTTTGTAGGTACGAAGAAAGTAGGTACTTTATCTAATATTTCCAGAAATTGTACACAATATCTATAGTGACTTTTATTTAATTAAGGACTTTTGATATAATTAAAATGTTATAATATTGGTACGAACAGTTACAAGAAACTGCACTTCTGAAATAATTTATTTTTAAAAATATTTGTTATTATAAATATTAGGATACGTCCCTACACAATTTGTTTGCATTTGTCATTCGGTGTTGTACTGTCATTGTGTGTTCATATCCGGCCCTTACTTTACCTTACTTTTATAATCATGACGACGTATCTTTCCAAAAAAGAAAATATTGAAAAATTAATTCTCGTGGTGCAAAAGCATCCTATTATGTACGATATGACGTTGTCGGAATTCAGGGATGCAAGGCAGAAGGATAATATCTGGGATAATATCATAAGTCCAGAAATGAACGGAGAAAAAGGTAGGTATAGGTACATTATTTAAATGTAAGTATATTAATATAGTAATAATTTACATATTGTATTAAATATTAATTGTGTATTATCAAAAAAATTGTTAAGGTGTCATAGTCACCGACTAAAATCTAATAGTAAGTAATAACAAAATAACTATTAATAATAATAATAATGAGAATACAAAAATCAATTAAATTAATTTAAAAAAAAATACTTATAGTATAGGATAATAATAATAAAGAAGTTCAGTGCACAAATATTGTTTAAAGTTATGAATTAAAAAAATTTACAAATTTTTCACGAATTTGTATAGATTTGTTCGTTCCTCTTCGATTGGTATTTTCAAATTCATATAAGGCTCCTTGAGTTAATTCTCCTTCGTTTAAATCCGCAGTCATATCAATATCACAATTTTTTTATACGCAGGTAATTATGTAAAATACATGTTGTTAATATTATTAGTTTTGTAGTTTCTTCTTTTAGTTCAATCGCACTTTTATAAACCCGACATTTTTTTTATTAAGATACCAAATGCGTTCTCAACTACACGCCTTGCTCTGCACAGTCTATAATTATATTTATCTAGTCTAATGTCATTTCTTGATAATCGGCGTGGAAATGGTTTCAATAAATAACTTTTTAAAGCAAAAGCTTCATCACCGATAAGCACCATTGGCGTATTTTCCACTTGACCAGGTAATGGAGTACTTTTTGGAACGTTTAAAGTTCCGGCTTCCAGCCGCTTACCCATTGCAGACTCTTCTAAGATTCCTCCATCAGAATTTCGTCCGTAACCTCCAACATCAATACAAATAAATTTATACTCTGGATCTACAATCGCCATCAAAACTACTGAAAATTTTTTAAGGTAACAAATTTCTAGATCCACTATTATTCGGACACTTTATAGTAAAGTGTTTCCCATCAACACTACCAATACAATTTGGGAATTGCCATTTCTCGTAGAAACCGCGAGCCGAAGCTTCCCAAATTGCTGTAGTAGGCTCAGGCATAAACATTGGTCCCATTATCTTGATAATCGCTTCACATACTTCTACAATTATTTTACTGACTGTTGAAAAACCAACACGATAACTGTGTCCAATAGTTGAAAGGGAATCACCACTTGCTAAATATCTTAAAATTAAAATATTCAATAATGAATATAAATAATTTGTTTAAATTATAAATTTACTTAAATTGATTAAATATTATTGTACAAATAACATATTTATTTTAATATTTTAATAAACTATACTTTTTTAGTCAAAAAAGTCGTTTTTATAAGTCTATTATAATATTGATAGGTATATAGATACATAATATAACAGAATTATTTTTGTAAGTGTATACCTACAGTAAATCTACACTCATTATTTAAAAAAAAGTTTTGTCCTTTTTAAAATACTTTTTTTACATATATTTGGACAGTAGCGTAATTTGGTTAACATTTTCGGTGTTGCAATTTTTTTATGTGATCATAGATATTTTTTAAAACAATATTTTACTTTAGATTCTGAGCGGAGCGGTGAATGTATTATTTTTGCAATGATGTGTTTTTTTATTTTTTTTTTTTTTTCTGTCATCACCTTTAGACAGTAAAAATGCTTAGATTTTCTTAAACAGTATCTTTTCTGATAGGAAAGTAAATAGTTGGTGCTTTAGGAGGTCAAAAGTAAAAATTTCACATGAGTTTTCAAAAGCGCCGTGAAAAACAAAAGAAAAATTAAAGAAAAACGAGAATCTTAACGCAAAATTGATTTTTTTTAAAAGCCTTTAAATTTTAAAGTTCAAATATGCTGATTTTTTTTTTCTATAAATATCAATACAATTTTATTTGTTGAACCGAAAACCGTAAAACAAGGCTCCTGATAGACTGTAACAATATCAGTTGAAAAATAGTAAAAATACATTTTATAAGCACAATTTATTGTTCCTAATTATTTTCAACTGCTTGTGTAACAATATATCAATGTATTCAATTTTCACGCTTTTTAACCCAACGAATAATATTTTATTGAAGTTTATAGAAAAAAACTAAAAAAACTATGAAATTTAAAATGTTGACCTACCAAATGCACCAACTAATATTAGTTGTTACTATAATTATACTATATAATAAAATTATTGAGATAGGTACCTACACTAAAATGTATTTATTTTATTTTTAATTTTTTAAAGGAGAAACATTAAAAAATAAATGGAAGAACTTAAGGGATTCTTACCAGAAATATTTAAAGGCAAATAGTACAACTACGGGACAGGCTGCAGGAGCTTCTAAAGGAAAGCACTTGGATCCTTATAAAAATTGGATTTGGGCTAAGCATCTAGAATTTTTAAGGCCACATTTGAAATTTGCTGCGTAAGTGTATAATATGTTTAATATGATGTAAAGCAGTACATGTATTCGCAATAATACTTCATATTTTGACAAAAATTTTTAATTTATTATGTTATTAACATTTTTTTCAGAACTTTATCTAATGTTCTACCTGTAGCAGGTACAAGTAATGAATTAAATATTTCTCATGATAATGACACTTCTAATGATGAACAAGTAGACGTTGAGAATATTGAAGAGTCGCAATTATCCAACCCACCTCCAGTTTCAGTATCGAAAATAAATGAAAGAGAAAAAAATAAACAACTTCCTGCAGCAGCATCTAATATTGATAAGGTTTTGGAGCATTTAAATAAAAAACAAAAAATCACTCATACAGCACTCGATCCAGTTGAAATGTTAATGCTTAGTTACGCTAAAACTATAAAAACATTTTCACCTATACGTCAAGCTATTGCAAAAAAAAAAATTTCAGAAATAATTTCTGATTTAGAAATTGAAGAAATTTCTGAAAATACTGGTCATACTGAAAATTACCAGAGAATTCCTTCACATTCTCAAGACCCTGATTCATATTTATATCCTGCTGTTCAAGATAGCGAACAAAACGCAATCAATTTGACAGTTGAACAAAATCATTTTGGAGACAAATACAGTAATAGTAGTTTTGATAATAGATACACACAATTATAATTTTTTTTTTTTTATAATTAATAACTAATAAGTATGGGTTAACATTAACTATACCTCCCTAATTAATATTACATTTTTTTTTTTAAGAATATACTTTTTATCTCAAGGCATTTGATTTTAATTTAATTTAAATTTGTTGTATACCTAGGTATTTATATTTAATATTTATATACATATTTGTTTATCAAACACTTTTTTGAATTAAAAAATAAAATATAAAATAGGTAAAACCTATATAAATGGTTAAACATAAAAATCTATGTATAATAGGTAATTTTTATTTAAATATATTATGAAATAAACTATGTATTTTGAAAACAATTTATGTTTACACAAATTGCCATCTCGCAATAGTACTTAGGTATTTATATTTAATATTTATATACATATTTGTTTATCAAACACTTTTTTGAATTAAAAAATAAAATATAAAATAGGTAAAACCTATATAAATGGTTAAACATAAAAATCTATGTATAATAGGTAATTTTTATTTAAATATATTATGAAATAAACTATGTATTTTGAAAACAATTTATGTTTACACAAATTGCCATCTCGCAATAGTACTTAGGTATACAGTATACCTTAATTTAGGTAAATTAATTAATTAATATTTTTAATATTTGAATTTATTAAAAAAAATTTCAAAATATTAGTGTTATATTTTTAAATCCTTAATATTGTATACTATATCTAATAGGTACCTTAAACATATCGCTAGTCGTTCCGTTGGTGAAATTTTGATGCGAAAATGTGTTGGCATTTTACGGATTTCACTTTCAATCAAACTTAAAACTTCTTCGTAACATTCAGAAGTCATTCTAAAGTACATAAAAAATCTTGCTGGATCCATTCTTAGTTGTACCATTAAAGTATTGTACTCGCCAAATAATTCACGATCTTTATTAATATTGTGGACCCAACATTTCCTTTTTATCTTTCTAAATTATGAGAATAGAGTTGATCTATTTATTTTTATTATTAATATTTATTAAGTATCTAGATAAGTTACCCATCATTTTCTTCGTCCGCGAGCATTGCTGCCAAAATCAAAATTTCATCATCATCGTCTGATTCCGATAAGTAAACATTCATTTTAAAACAAATTGGAATTATACTATTATCAGTTAGGATAAAAAAAAAACACTGTCCTATAACCACATAAACTATGGTACTATTGTACTAACATATCGATATATCGTAATATCGTAGAATGTAGGTAATATGAATATAGTATGATGTCACTAAGTCACTTAACTATACTAGTCAGAGTCACTATTATGTAGTACTGCTCTGGTGCTTATATTCGTGTGTCGTAGACTAGTTGGTACATAGGTAGGTACACTTTATTTATATATGAAGAATTATATAATAGACGAAATTCTTGATAATTCTAAATTTGATATTTCATTAGAAGTAAATTTAATATCGTCTATACTAATACGACATATCAATAATATTATATCTAAACTATTATTATTTAATGGAAGTAGGTAAATGTATATAACTATATTATTTATTATTGTTATAAAATATGTTATTAGTTTTAGTTATTAATTCTTGAAATTGGAAACAGGATCGTAAAAATATTTGATTTGCACGACAAATAAGTAGTCAAATAGTGAAGAAAAATAATGTCTCATATTATTTTTTTTGAGAGGTATCTATCGTATCATATTTCTTAATATAATATTAATAATAATAATTAACGAATACCTGTGCAGCGGCCGTTCTAATTTCCATTAGCACACGAGGGCAATAATATCAGGCACCCTTATTGGACATATTAGTGCCCTTTAAAATGTTACAATTTTTGCCGCCCTAGGGTACTTGCCCTATTTCCCGCCCCATTGGCATGTCTTTACGTCAAAATAATTAATATTAATTATACTCGAATGTTCACTACTCCACTCCCGTTACCGCTTCAATGTGAACGAGTCGGCGATATCGTCACCGCTACCACCACCGTTATCGCCACCGCCACCGCCACCGCTACCGCTCCAGTGTGTGGGGACCTTTACACGGAGATTATCATTCTGGAACGAGCTACAAATTCACTCAACTGCACAATCAACACGACTGTTCTGCTTATTTTGTCTGGTTTAATAAAATACATTTGATTACTATACTAATTTGACTATTGTTATTTATAAAAGTACATCAGCTTTTGGATCCCTGAAGGGCCGTTCGTAACACCGGACCCAGCGAAAGTTAAATCTGTACTTGATTTTCCGGTTCCTAAAAATGTTAAACAAATAAAAAAATTTTAGGACTCAGCGGGAATAGTATACCAATACCACTCCTAGCGACACTCATTTTATATCAATAAAAGATCACAAAGAAAACAATGTGCAAAAAGATCAGAAAATTGAAATGCAATAATAATAAAAATATTTTACATAATACTTATGATATTAATAATTAAAAAAAGAAATTTTAATAACTGAGAATTTATTAGAGTTTATGGGCTTTTACATAAAATCTGACGTTCACCTAAAAAAAGGGGAAAGTCAGAGTTTATAAATAATAATGCTAATAAAATCGTGGCTGGAAAAACCGGCCACAATTTTAGATATTAAAAAAAGCATCTTATAGAGTTTTTAAATAATAATCAATTATTTTTTTAATAGAATTGTTCTATTAAAAATAAAAATCGAAATGCAAAAAAATGTATTAAGAAGAAATTGAATACCTGAGTTAAAGGAATTGAAATGTATAATAAAAGAATGGAAACTATAAAAATTTTTAATAAGTTACAAGAAAATGAAATAGAAAAATCAATATTAAATAATGAAATCTTTGTCACTAAAGCTAAGATTCAGTCTCGGTGTGAGTGGGTATAATTATTTACACGAAACAAAGTTTCTATACCTTCATACAGCATATTAAACCTAAATTGCAACAGTACCCACTACAAACAGGTATTTACAATCACATGAAGGATCCACTCATTCAGAAAGTTCAGTGTATGGATGATCTTGATAAATTCTGTGCCCTATCTGTAGATGAAATGATGATTTCCACTCAACAAGATTATGATAAAAATTTACACAAATACTTTGGGCATGTAACTTTATGGAACAATGAAAAAACATTAGGTACCTAGTCACATTACAGTAGTTCTTGCTCATGGAGTTTAAAATAACTGGAAGCAGGTTATTGCCTGTGAAGTGACTGATAAGACAACAAAACCGAGAACACATGAAGACATTAATTACAGATAGTATTTTATTTGTTGAAAGTTGTGGTCTAACTGTTTTATCTGTTACATCAGATATGGGTTCTAATAATAGAGGATTGTGGTCTCTTTTGGGAGTGACAATAAAACCAAATGGTGATCGAGAAAATACGTTTCAGTGTAACAATCATAGTGTTTATATAATTCCAGATGTTTGCCACTTGCTCAAGAACTTGAAAAGTGCAATACTTCGCACAGGACTTCATATATCTAAGAAATTGCAAGAATTTGAAAAAATGCCTTCCTCGTTTGTGTCAGGAGTTTATATTCGTGATCTTTGGAAAGCAGAAGTATCTGCGGAAAAGCCTTTTCACTTGCTCCATCATCTTAGAAACGAAGATCTCAATCCCTCAAATTTTGATAAGATGAATGTAGGAGCTACAATACGATTTTTTTCATTGAAAACTGCTGCAGGTTTAGAATTAGCAGTAAAGTTAAAACTGATTCACGAAGAAGCCCTTACTACTGTTTGGTTTATAAGGCAAGTGCATCAGTGGTTCTAGTTAATGAATTCAAGAGTAAGAAAAACAAGTATCACCAAACGCAATAAAACTGAAGAGCATTTTTTTATATAAAATAATTTATATCTTTGAAGGTATATCATTTGGTAAAAGTTGGAAGCCTCTAAATTGCGGTGTAATTCTATCGACCCTATCTGTAATAGATGTAACAGATTATTTGATAACGTGTGGTTATGATTTTGTACTAAATCACCGATTTAATCAAGATGCATTGGAAAATGTATTTTCACAAGTTCGTCGCAAAGGAGGATCAACACCATCCGCTCTTGCATGTTTAAGAGCTCTAAAAATCATAATAATTTCACAATTTGTTTCGGATGTGAAAAAATCTTCATACTGTTCTGACACTGACGTTTTCCTCATTGACTATTTTTCAAAGACGAAAACCCAAGTGGAAAAAGTTAATTCTCGTGTTCCTGTTATTAATACAAATGCTGAAATTGATCTATCTATGCTTTTAGATACTTATAGTTTAGATAGCTTTAAGAAATTAAATATGCAAGATCAAAATTATTATTTTTTATTGGGGGATCTGTTGTAAATACATTGCTTAAAAAATCATTATGTGAAGAATGTAAAATATTTCTTGAAAAAAACTCTTTAAAGGATTCAAAATTAAATTATAACTATTATGTAAAACAGTTGGATAAAGGTGGATTGATATATCCAAATTAATTTGTTTTTCAATTAATTTTTAACTGTGATATTGTCTATAAGACATTTTTAAATTATATTATGCATAATAACTCAAAAATTATAATAGATAAAATATGTAATGATATAAATATACCCTTCCCTCTTGTTGTAATATAAAAGAGTTCATTGTTAATTATTTTTTTACTATACGATCATTCGCCTTAGTTAGTTTAAGTTGTGCAGTTAAACGCAAAAAAACTATGTATAGTACTGCTACTCAAAAGAAAAGAAAAATTTGATGTAAAATTCATTATTCATATTAAATATTGTTATTAGTAATCTATTATTTTAAGAATAAATTGTTTTGTTTTTTAAATTTTCTTTTATTTCATTTTATAATATGTTAACATTTTGGTAAACGGAATTTTAAAAAAATAAGATATATAAATGAAAGGGTTGAAAATAAATTGTATCCACTTGAAAATTAAAATATTAAAAATTACCAATCCAAGTGTATTATGTTATGTTCTTAAAAATAGACAGTTGCCTAACTTTTATAAAAAATAGATAGGTAAAAGAAGTGTTTACTTATAGAATTAATATAAAATTAACATTTAAGTGATTTTTAAAAATGTATTTTTTTTTGCTTGAAACATAAGACTAACCAATTGGTCCTTTACTTTGATCACAAGACTAGGTAGTAAAGTTCTAAAAATTAGATTGGTTTTAGATAATTGATAAATAATAAAACTTTGTAAAATATAAAATGTTGTATTTCAATTATATATGACTAATAATAATGATACAAATTTTACTATAATTGTCAAGTTATTATAGTTATATACTAGTGGCTTTAATAATAAAAAAAAAAAAATACATAAGAAAGTTAAAATATTAAATTGCCATGATTGATGTAAGGCAGTGTAAAAAATAATGCATGTGTTGTCTCCGTCTCACAAACGTACAACATTGCAATTTTTTATATTAGAGTGAATTTACCGATCATCAAACTTAAAGGTATGAATGTTTCTTGTTTAAACATTTTTGTTTTCCAGAGCATAACAAACTGCCAACAGGTGGTCCATTTCTGTCATCTTTATTTGCAATTCCATGTTTTCTTCAATCAATACCATACATCTTTCAAAACTAAAGGAAGGCTCCACTGATAGTGACTATAAGACAATAATTAAAACGAAAAAGTTAATAATCACCTGGGTGTATTTTATAATGTAATTTTAAATGTACTTATGCAAAAACTTCTGTAGATAAAAAATCTTAAAAATCATTGACACAATAATTATATTGTCTATAATAAAAATTAACTTAAAATGATTGTGTAATGAACATAATATAAGTATCTGCAATAGTTAAATGTCTAATATATTACCTATGGTTTTTATTATAAACCTAATAGGTAGAAGAAAAATTTAAAAACGTAGTGAATAATTTTAATTATTTACCTCATTGTTTCTTTATTAATTGTAATCTGACTTGAACAACCGCCACATTTATCAGTTGTTTTTCGTGATTGATTCTTTGAAAAATTGTTTTTGTTCATTGTTATTTGTTATTAAATAAGACTACACAACAAATTTTAGTAAATGCGAATTAATATTTTAATTACAATTTTAATGCTTACGATTTATGAAACTGCAACACTCACAAGTCAAATTGATATTATAATGGTAAATGATAGTACTGTACTACTATCATGTTTTCTTGCAACCAAAATGGCGGATGCGTATACCTTCTTATATAGTAAGGCACTATAAGTATGAGTATTCTCATGGGCGCGGACCGGTGGTCTGACGGTCCGCGGTCGAACTGGTACCAAAATGGCGGATGAGAATACCTACATCTATAGTGCTATATATATAGTTCTCTATACTCTATTCAAGTTAAAGGTGGGTTTACACGTTCAGTTGAACTGCGCAAACTAATTTTAGGTATTTTTGAGCAGTCAGTTTGTGCAAATGAACTGAATAAATTATTTAGGTTTAGACGTTCAGTTATTGGCATACATTTGTGTTCAGTTATAATTTGACACTGTATCAAAAATGTCGTCGATTACCGAACAGGAGCTATCTATTTTCGCAGTGTGTGTGATTAAAAAAAAAACAATTAATACTTCAAAAAATAAATGAAAATAAAATAAATAAAAAGAAGTGGTCGGAAAATTGGTTGTTAAAAAGACAACAATTTTCGCACGTAAATTTAATTAGTGAATTATCTGGAGAACCAGATGACTTCAGGAACTATCTTCGTATGGACGAAGAGACATACAGTTTACTACTGTCATTAGTTTCCGATACCATTCAAAAACAAAATACAGTTATGAGAAACTTCATAAGCCCTCATGAAAGACTTACAGCAACATTAAGGTTTTTAGCAACTGGCCGAAGCTGTACCGATCTACAGTATTCAACTATAATATCAAAACCAGCACTCAGTAAAATTATTCCTGAGACATGTGATGCAATTTATTCTGCCCTTAAAGACACTTACTTAAAGGTAAGATAGATAATTAATAGATAATACCTACGTAGCTATTTAGTCATACATAATAATATAAGATTAGGTATAATATTATTTAACATTAAAACACTTGATATAGAACCAGTATATCCGTATAGGTAAAACAAACACTATTTCATATACAATTTTAAATGTCAACTTTTTTTATTCAAAAATAAAAAGCTAGTAATAAAATAATATGCATACTGAGAAAAGGAAAACTTATTAAATATAATGAATATTAACTGGTTTAAGAAAAATAAAATAATTTATTTAATATACCTATGGACTATAGACTCCTCGTCATAATAATACTATTGGTACTTAAGTGGTACATAATTTTTAGTGGATACATACTACATACAGTGTATACTTTATATTGTATTCTATATGGTGTTAACAATTAATTATCTAGTGTTTTTCTGGTTTTTGTGTTAACTAGTTGGTCAGAGTTGTAATGTATAAATGATTGCTGTATTTCAGTATCGGCTGAGGGACTTTGTTGAAAACCTGGATAATTTGGCACTGGTTGAAAATATTGAGGATATTCTTGAAGAGAAAACGATTGTCTGAATGGAGGCTGAGGTTGTGCCTGATATCTAGTTGATGATTGAAGGGAAGCTGAAGTATCAACATTTAGTTGATTTGGATGAATTGATAATGTGCAATGACGATTTAAATTCCCAAGTTCTGCTTCATATAGCACGTCATTAATTAATTTTTCTGCATAAATTATTTGTTCCTTGTTTATTTCGCTAAGTTTATAAGCCCATGTTTTCCCAATCAAATCAAACTTGTTTTCTGATTTTGATGTAGATTCTTTAAGCCGTTTTCCTATTACTGATAATATACTATCACATTCTTCAAGTTGACTTTTGTGTGATCTTTTTGTTTTTAAATAATTTTGTGTTGTTTCACGATCGGTGCGTGTCAAATGGGAAATTGGTGATGTAGATTCTAAATCGGAAGTATTTTGGACTGATATTTCGGTAGGGTTATCAAATGAATGATTTGATGAATTGTTCAGATTCTCTTCGTATACAGTTAAATCCTAAACAAAGTAAATTGTGTATACAATTATACGTAATGGCAGAAAGTATCTCTACAATCAATATGTTTTGAACTACCTACAACTAAATAACTATACGTTATTTTTTACGTTTAAAAATAATAAAAACAATTATATATTATAAAGTAATATAAAGTCAACCGTGTAACGATAAATATCAATGCATAAAAATTCATTTTTAAAAAATAATTGTGCATATGAATTCAATTTTTTAAATTTCCAAAAGATCAACTTATGAAGAATCTTATATTTAATTTTCAAACTTTTTAAGCGAGTGAAATTGTTTTTATCGATTTGTATATAAAAACAAAATTTGAAAATGTAAAATATTTAAATATGAAAAAAGCTTAAAATGTAGATATTTAAATACTTTTAAAAAAGTACTCATCTAAAATAAAGTTACAATATTAATTACAATATTTAAAATGTTTTTTTTATAGTTTCCAAAGACAGAATGTGAATGGAAAATTATAGCAACAGAGTTTGAAGAAAAGTGGCAATTTCCACATTGTCTAGGAGTGGTCGACGGTAAGCACATTCAAATTGTTGCTCCTCCAGGAAGTGGATCATACTATTATAATTATAAACATACATTCAGTATAGTATTAATGGCGATCGTAAACGCAAATTACGAATTTGTTATTTGCGATGTGGGTACTAATGGACGTGTATCAGATGGAGGAATTATTAACAGCACCAAGTTCTATAAAAATCTCCAGAGTGAAACTCTGAACTTACCAAAAGCAGAAAATGTAAATGGTAGTAATGAAAAATTAAACTATGTTTTTCTTGGTGACGAGGAATTTTCGTTAAGACCAGATTTTTTTAAAGCCATACAATCAGAGAGAACTTACACTAGAACGTCGAATATTCAATTATCGTCTGTCGAGGGCTCGCCGAACAGTTGAAAACGTATTTGGTATTTTAGCGGATCGATTGGATTTAGAATACTCCATACTTCGATTAATTTAAAAATTGAAAACATAGACAAGGTCGTAATGGCATGTTACGTACTTCACAACTTTCTGAGGAAACGTAATACAATGACATATATATTAAATTCGGACATAGATGTCGAAGATAATGAACTTGGGACACTTACAGCAGGATTGAGATCAGATCAAAACAATTTATTAGATCTTCAAAGAGGGCAAAATAGACGAAGCTCAACTGAAGCAAAAAATGTGCGGCAAGATTTTGAAGAATACTTTAATAATGAAGTTAAAGTTCCATGGCAAAATAGAATTGTCTAAATTGAGATGATTGTATATAATATAGTATTAAATAAAAAAATTAAATAAAAAAGGTGAGCTTATTATTATAATTATTTTAACGAGTTAATGATATTTCAAACGTAAAATTATGTACAATGTTTTTGTAAATTCATTATTCAACAGTTTTTTTTTTATTTTTCGTTATTAAGATATGTTAGGTACTTACCTATTATTATTTTAGAACAATTTATACTTAATTATATTACATTATTTGTTGTGTAAAGTACTTCAGATATGAAAGTATTTTTATAAAAAGTAAAACTGATAGAAAAAGTATATATTAAATAATTAAATATGTAATTTTACATTTATCCAAGTCCGTAAATTTTAATTTTATTAAAATAAAATATTTTATTTTAAATAAACTCATTAGTTTTTAATAAATATTAATCACAAATGAGGAGTTAACCTAACTTTTGTATTAAATAAAAATATATGTGATGGTATTATTATTAATAAGAAGAAAGTAAAAAGTAATATGATGTTACCTACCTGTGAATCATCCATATTACTTATTGTATCTCTCGGTATTTCCTGGTCTCTGATAAAATCAATTTCATTAAAATAAAATAAATGTGGAGTGTATTGACGCGGTACGCAGCGGCCACCAGTACAAAGTACAGGTACCGCAGCGACCCGTCTACACTTTTGTCAACCACCACCACGGACTACAGCGCGGCAGCACCAACTCTCCCACCGCGCCTAAAAGGCACAAGGTGGGACGGGAAGGCAAGTCGCGCAAAACGAGTACTGGCCGCCGGCGGCGTCTCTCTCTCACGTCAACCGTCGAAACGGCTCCATCTCGGCTACGTACCACCGCACCGGATACATACCGCTCGTCATCCGAAAACCACGCCGGCGACAGTTTCACCGTTATATGTGACATCCGTTGACTTTGACTACCAGATTACTTAATCTAACATTGATTTCAAAACTTTGAATATTGTTTTAATAAACCGGCCACAGGCCATATCACACCAAAATACGTGTACCTTAATTTCAAGTGCGAGTGTCGTTTGTGTCACCCTACTTCCACTCCACACCCGACGACCGGCTGACTGCGTCGATCAACATCGCCGTAGCCGTGTCAGTATATATCCTCTTCACCAGCTCCTGACCGTACAGAATCCTTAATTTTTTTTATTTCTTTCCGATATGCTGAACGTAATGAGTTAATCTTCTTAACCACGGCATCTCTATTTGCGTTTTCATCAATCTCCTTAATTTTTGCGATGAGAACTTCATATGCCCGATCTTTGATATTTCGGTTAGAATATTCTGGAAGATGTACTAAGGAATGGTGTTTTTTACCACATTCAGCACATTTCCTTGGATTTTTACATTCACTAGCCATGTGCGCACTAAAACAATTAAAACATCGCCCCAAATCCTTAATAATTTGATGGCGTTCGGTCGGCGTTTTCTCCTTGAACAGTGGACAATGTATGAGCAAATGTCCTGGTTGACTTTTGCACACTTGGCAGGTAAATGTCTTTTTCTCTAATTGTTCTGGCGTGGCTTTTCCTGCATGATGATTACTGAACAGGGTGGTCGTTTTTCCTGGTTTGTAAACTTTGGTTACCGGTTTGGTGATTTCTTGACAAACGGTTGCAGATTTGCAATACTTAGTCAAAAAAGTAGTGAACTCTGTCACGGTGGGATCTTCCGTTGTATCCACCAATAATTCCCATTGGGATCGAAGTGGTTGGTCGAGTTTTTTTTGAAGTAAATGTAAAATAATCGGGTCCCATTGGTCCACTGCGTATGATAGATTGGATAACGCACCGATTGACTCGACAATAATATTCAATAGTTTTCTGATAGAACTTCCATCGCTAATAAATGCTTTCGGAGCATTATACAACTCTTCGATATGGTTTCCGGCTATGACCCGACGATTTGAATACCGTGCAGTTAACAGTGATAAGGCTAGATCATAATTGCTATCGGTCAGCATTAAATTCCCTATCAAGCTCAGATGCTCTCCAACTAAATACGATTTTAAGTGACTAAATTTAAAAATCGCCGATATATCTGCTTCCCCTACTGTTTTGTCAAACATGTTCCGAAAACTAATATATTCTTTTGGGTCACCACCAAACTTGGGTATGGATAATTTTTCGATTGGATAATACTTATTAGGATTAACATGGGTTTTTGTTTCAATAAATGTTTTATTAAGTGACGCATCAGTCATGGCTTCAGGTAGGTATTCATCAGCGAAGATTTTACACCCCACATATTTCTCCTCGAATTCCATACGCAGTTTTTCCTCGATAACTGCGTCCGACGAAGGTGGCCCTTTGCATTGATGTTTTATAATGATCGTTAACTGTGTTTCGAAATCATTCGCTACACTTTCAAGTGTCGCATACATTATTTTAAACTTGGTTTTCGCCGTTTTGTTGGTCGGATCTGCTTCAATTGCCACCCCCGCATCATGTACGCGTTGTACCTCACACTGCAGACTAGCTATACGTAATTTCGCCTCTTCGTATACCCCCATGGTTGATTAAATAATTATAATCGTTTTTATAATTACGTATTAATATGTGTTTAGCTACCTACTACGCGATATGTTTGTACGGAGGTATAAATATACGATGGGATGATGTGCAACGCGTTGTGTTCGCAATCCGGTTTGTCTTCGTTTACGGCGGCGCTGCGTATACCGTCTTTACCTGTTATGATGCTAAAGTCCAAAGTACAATTTCTCGCACACTGGTTCACACTCTTATATAATAAGTTATATAATACTAACAGGCCTATTAACTATCGGTGCTTACGTAATAACTTTTTTTTTTTTTAACAAATAGGTACCTAGGTGTAATTCAATCGCTTAGAACTATACACTTCACAGCAGAGAGAAGTGCAAGATTAGGCACTGGAGGTGGTTGTCTACCAGAACTCCAACATTCTCAAGATCCTGCTGTGGAGGAATTGATTGGAAGACCGCATATTGTCGAATGGACCAACAGATTTGACAGTGATGGTGTTGCCATCTTAAATTTGAATGGTAGTTTTATTGTCTCATATAATATTAATTATGTTCAGTTTCTATAGTATTTTTATATTCAATTTTTATTTAATATTAAGAAAGTGTAATGGACAATGGAACTCTTGGGCAAAGTATAAGCATAACTGGTATGTATATTAATAAAAATATTAAGAGGATATCAGCAATTTTTTCTAGCATTAATAATAATAAATGTAATGAATTAATAGTCCAATTACTTCAAGATTAGGTAAGATGAGGTAAGTGGAACACAATATAAAAATTCAACTTCAACTTAAAACTGAAATATGTTTTGATGCTCTATACAATTTATTGGTTTCACATTAACATTAAATACATCTATAATATTACCTATAATTTTTTTGAATCAGGTTGAACTATGATAATTGAATTTAAAAATATTTTAAGGTACCTTAAATGTATGATGTATTTATCCTCCTATCCTCCTGCCATCATTTAAATATCCTACATTTCCGCCATTCCTTATAATTTTTTATTAATGTTAGAGAGAGAAAACTTTTCATCTAATAATATTAGTTAAATATAATTATAAAACTAATAAAGACACTTTTCAAAAATGTAAAATTTAAAACCAAATACTATAGATCAGAATGATTCTACCACACAAGGGATAATGTTCAAAGAAAATGAGGATACTGAAGTTTTAACAACAAATGGTTTGTACCTATGCAACAAATATATTTGAATAATATTTTACATTTAATATGTAAAATTACATATACTTGTTTTCATTTTCCAGATGATAATCCTATTGTCATTACATTAAGAGAAGATTCTATAGATAGAGGTAATTGTTTTAAATTTTGACATTTTGGAGGTATTAGGTTATTACATTTGATAACTTAGGTAGTTAATTTGTGGTCATCACTAATCACTGAAATTGAGTACCCGTGTTAATATTAACAATATATATTGCCTTGCCTATTATCTATAACACAGTAAAGAAAAATCATTTAATAAAAGACAGATTTTAATTATAAAATTTAATAATTCATAATCTGTTTTTTTAAATAAAATGTTTGTTTAAATTAATTTATATAATATAATGCATTGACAAAATATGAATTATTTTTATAATATATTAATGACTCTTGTTTATTATATAATAATACTATACCAAAATATTTATGTATTTATGTACCTATGATTTTGTTTAGTAAAATCTGATACTGGAATGGCTTCAAAGTTAAAGGCAATAAAACGGATCATATTTTAAAAGAATGTGAACTAAGAGTCAAGCGCCAAAAAATAGCCTTAGATCATGAACAAAAAATGAATGAATTGCAGGTAAATATAATATACAGTTTGTAAGAAGTGAATATACTTAAAATAATTAAAATACAGATGCAGATGGTAAGTCACAAATGATATGAATATTGAATAATTAGGTAGTAAGAACTTGGTGTAATAAGTATCTATTCAAATATGAAATTGTATCTAACTATTTTTCAATTGTACTTAATTTTTTTTTGGATTTTATAGATTACAAACACATAAGCAGGTACACCTTGATAGTTCAACATTTTTAAATATATTTTTAATACCTCATTCACATTACTAATCAGTATCATGTCCTTTCTTATTATTTCTTATTGTTCCTTTTTCTGAATCATAATATATCGGGCTAAACCTTCTCCTTAAATTAATTCCTTAAAATATTACCTATGTTAGAACCAGACGTAAGTAGCTTGTATATTTTAATAATATTATAGTGTGCTTCCAAAAAATTATTTTTGCGCATTCACGATTTTCACCATACTTGTACATAGTTATTTTACATTTTTGTTTAAAGGCTTTTTCTTATTTAAATAATTGTCTTTTTTTTAAAGAATGGCGTTTAATAATATTTATACATTTTTATAATAATAGTTATAAATTATAATATTAAAATAATCAGTTTTGAAAATGCATGCATGTAAATGTTATTCTTGTGAATTAAATTCACAGGCTTGGTAATAAATAAAATGTCATGGTTTTAGATTTTGAACCAAAAACTCGTTATGCAAGCCACAGTGGCCAAACGGTTGGAAGAAAATAAATTGTTTAAGCTCCAGTGTCAAAAATTGGCGTTAGAAATCAAAAAATTAAAAGATTGATACATATTAAGTATTATATAAATATATAAATATGTATTATAATCTTATGATTACCCATTAAAATTTGTTTTAAAATTAACAGTATACATTATTACTATACTTATTATGTTATACAATAAACTGTTGTTACTGTTGTTTACTATTTGCTATATTAAAATATATATATGTATATCTAAAAAAATTAATTTGTGTAAAATCAAATTTGTATTATTATATTATTATGAAATAAGTACATTTGATAGAACTTGAAAGTTGAAAGTGAAGTAAGACAACAATTGTGTAACTAATTGTTTGTCTTAAAACAAAAAATACATAAAATTAATTTTAACTTATTATGAACTTATAAGTAATTATACATTACGTTTCCTGTTTAAAATTACTTAGGTGGTTATATTAAAAGTATCTATGATATGCTGGTAACTTATTATAATATTAATGTGCAGTTGCTTAAATTAGATAGGTACACAGCTCTAACTAAAATGTCTAATGATGTATGCACTTCTTGCCGCTGGCCCTAATATATTATTGTCATCATTATACTCTCCATACTCCTCTTCTAAAATGTCTTCCTCGTCATCGCTATCGTCATCAGCATTTTGATATTTTCTTGAAATATTGTGGAGCATAGCACATGCAATAATAATATTTACAATTGTAGAAGGTGCATTGGCCAGACCCCTTTGGAGGCAAGGAAATTTTCTTTTCCAAACTCCAAACACCCTTTCAATAATATTCCTTGTCCTAATTTGTGCTTTGTTATATTTCAGTTCTGGTGGTGTTACAGGGTTTCGCAATGGAGTAAAAAGATAAGTCTTACATGCATAACCTGTTAAAAGAAAAATATATCTTTAAAATCATACCCTTGCAGTTAATCTAAAAAAAAAAAATGTAATAACTGTAAGCAGAACATTTATATATCAATTCAGATAATAATATTAAGAAAAAAAAGTTAAATACCACCATCTCCAAGTAATAACATGTTATGTGTACGTTCATCAAAATATTTATTTGCGTAACTGCTACTGAAAATAAAACTGTCATGATAACTGCCTGGCCATCTAACTACTATATCCATAAACTCCATTGATGGACCACATACTGCCTATAGAATAATTTAAGTATTTTAATTATTAATGGTATTAGTTGGGAATACTATGGTTAAAGTGAATTGAATATTATTTCTATTATTTTATTTTTTTTGTAGGTATAGGGCTACGAAACAGGACATTAGCTTGAGATATTGTAGGTTTTTACTTTTTAATACGTATGTGTAAGTGTGGTAAGGATTTGTCGCTAAAAATCCCGGGAGCAAGTGACACCGGCCGGTGAGTACACTCAGACCAGGTTCCGTAACTGAATGCACACAACAATAAGCCACTGTTTCCAGTATTACCAATATTCATTTGTGATATACCATATACACTATAATAGTATAATGTATAATGTAGTATAGGTACCTACCTAATTAATATGTTATTATAATATATAATTATAATTATATTATCAACCTGAAAACTTACCTGGACATTTAAAGAAAAATAACCCTTTCGGTTTCTAAACGCTTCCGAATCCGGACCACCTGGGTTTTGAATTTTAATGTGGGTGCAATCAATGCACCCTCCAATTCCAGGCATTTTGTACATTTTATAAAATTTATCCTGTACAACTTTCCATTCGTCAACATTTCTAGGAAAATGTACGTGGTGTTTTGCATTACTAGCCATAATTTTGGATAGACGTGTTATTATTCTGGAAACCGTTGATTGGTGAATTCGCCTTAAATCACCATTAACAATCTAAAAAAAAATGCCCTTGTAATATAATTAAGGTAAGAGCAGTATTTGTTGGAAAAGGTTAATAATACATGGTGGGAACAAAAAGCTCAAAAATACTTTTATAGGCTTACTTGAAAGTTGGATGTTCCATAAAACCTTAAAAGGGTTAGAAGCTGAAATAGAGGTGGGATTGGTAAACCACGATTGTTCCGCCTGTCTTCAATGTTTATCATTGGCATTAATTTGTATCTTACTATTTCTTTCGAGAACCTAAATTATTTTGAGTGTATTTTAGTTAATCTGCTTTTTAATCTTGTTAGGTATTCATTCATGTAGGTACCTACATTCACTAATTTATAATGAAATAATTTTATAATGAACAATGAACAAAATTAATTCATTATTTTTATGAAAAAAAAGAGCAGTGGCAAAAAATAAGGTTACAAAAAATGTCCTATATCACCAATTACATTTTTATGATTTGTATAAATGTATTTATAGGTAGAACTGTAGATGTAACAGAAAGACCTGACAAATGAAATAACTTAGTCTATATCAATATTTTTTAATTTTTTTTTATATATACCTGCTTAATTAA